TGCGTTTACTTTTATTCATAAATATACTGTTGTTGTGAGGGGTGGGTGCGAAGACATTGTAAAAATTTCTACTGGAATGTGGGCGAACAAAAATAGTTGAGAACCACTGGTTTAGAACATGTAAATTTTTTCTTTAGAGGTTTTAAGTTTTCTTCTCGTTCCAACTGAATTTCATTTAATAAGTTCTGAATTAAGTGGAATACAAACTGTCCGTCTTCGTTGCAAAATCAATCGTTCAGGTGGCAATGGCTGAATCCTCAGAGAGATCATCGAATCCGAAAAGATCTTCAGATTCGTCGGTCCGCCATAAGGGTACAAGCAAACGTAGTGCCACGAAACGTCGGAAAGTGGTCGCACAACGACATTTCAGCGCCGACAGCGAAGATGAACGTTTGAAAGAACGTTTAAACGCTAAATTCAACGTGAAGCAACGAAAGACTGTGGACGATTCGGCGCAAGGTTGCTGTCTTCGACGCAGTGACGGTACAAAAATTTATCCATCATTCTCTACGTAATCCTGAATTGGATGGCACTGGACAAACTGTTTTAGGGTCTACAATTGAATTAGTTGTTTATTTGAAACCAAGTAGTAGACGAACCACGATACAATGAAGAGTAACACGGAATGATTTCTAATACAAAACGCTCTACTGATATACAGTTGCTGCTTATATACCGATGAAACATTTACATCAATTACAATGAATATCACAATTCATATCACCCATTGATACTTGATCATTAGATCATATCATAACATAAACATAAGCAGTTCTGGGTGGTACAATATTCTTAATTAAGTCGCCTGATTATACTTATGCAGATCACTGAACAACAGAAGAAGAAGGAAAGTCTTTATTCGAAATCAGTTTGTAAGAATAGAACACTGAATGAAATCTATGAATTTGATCGGTTTCTTTGAGAATTCATTGAATTTTGAGAACGGGATACGCATCCAACGAAATTGTTCTCAAACTGTCTCACTTGAAAACGACTTTTCTCAATTATTTCAGTAATTTCGAATTATCTCATTCAGGAGGTTCATTGGGCGTTTGTAACAGTGAGCGGCATGATGCAATCATACGCAGGGCCGAGTGTGCACGAATCAATCGTTTGCATAAAGGTGCCGAGAACAACGATGCCGTACCGACCCGATGGAAGTGTGCCTTGTGCCAACAGCGATCATCACGCTCGTTTTTGGGTGACCTTTATGGACCTTACTTCGTCCGAGTACAAGGCAACCATTGGCCGTCGTTTTTGGCCAAGAAACCCGCACATTTGAATCTTGAGGTACCGAATTCAGTGTGGCTTTTGATGAATTTATCATTAAAACTCTAAATGACGTAATAGTTTTTTATTTTCCACTAGTTTTCCAC